CCCCCTCCTCTTCCGTGTCTGTGCATGCATTCCCCGGTCACCCGCCTCTGCGCCTGCCCCCGCGCCCGTACCTGCCCCCGCTTCGACTGACTCCTCGCAGCCCTGTTCATGACCTCCAACATCTGGGTTGCCGCTTCGGCGGCCGGCGCACGGTCTACCATCCTTCTGTCGGTGTGCGGTGGGCTGGCTGCCATCAACGCCGGCATCGCGCTGCTTTTCAAGTTCGTCTTCTTCACCTACAAGTCGGTGATTGTCGCCCCCTGAGACCGTGTTGGTGGCCTGGCTGCCACACCACTGCGCAAGTCGGCGGTCTGTGGTCTTCCTTCCGGTCCCCGTATCTTCGCCTCTCTCTCCCTCCCCTCACCAGGGTATGCTCGTCGTACGGGGGATGCGGGAGGACCGGCGGCTCCTCATGCACATTGCGCTCGAAAAAAAAAAAAACAAACACCCAACTCAATAAAATCTTCCCAAACAAAGTTTTTCTTCCTGCCTCTGAGTCTGGGCACGGGCTCCATGGTCCCTCGCACTGCTGGTGTATTTCGACTGCAAGGGCGTTTCCCGAGCGACAGTAACAGCAACAACAACAGCAGCAGCAACAGCAGCAGTGCAAACAGAAGCAGGAGCAAGGTGCGGCCGAATGCAATTCAGCGCTTGTGGGCCGCTTGACGCATGTACCAAATCCCGTCGGCCCTGGTGGATTGTTTGTTGATCTGTTGTTGTTGGGATTTGGAAACAATTCGTTCGAGAATCTCCCCGGTGCCTCGAACGAGTCTATACCGGACATGGGCACGCACAAATATTCATGCAGTCGGAGCTCGGCTGGTCAGCAACAGCCTGGAGGGCGAGCCGGTATGCGGGGAAATCAAATTGGATCGTTTGGCTGAGGGGGAGGGAGAGGAGCGAGAAAGGGAGAGAGAGAGAGAGAGGACGTACCTCATGCGGCCTGTTTCCTCGTCATACTTTTCACTGATGGTGTTGTAGAGTTTGTCATACTGGGCCGGAGTCATGGGGCCGAAGGAGGCGGCCGGAGTGGCCGGCGGATCGCGCGGGATACTCTGCGTTCCCTGGGCACCACTCGAGCTGGTGGTGGGTACTGGCGGCGGGGGACCATGACTCGGGCGGTTCAGGGGCAGACCTGGCGGAGGGGCTTGTGGGACCGGTGGGGCCGGTGGGGGCGGCGAGCGACTCCTGCTACTGGAGTTGGAGCTGTGGCGACGGGACCGCCGGCTGTGTGTGCGGCGGGACGATCGCGTCGGGGAGGAGCGATCCCGGCGTCGCGAGCGTCTTGATGAGTCCCTGCGCCTGGATCGGGACCGGGACCGTGAGGCTGAGCGATTGCGTGAGCGATCCCGGTCACGCCGGCTAGACCTCCGCCGGCCACGGCTGCGGCTGCGGCTGCGGCTGCGGCTGCGGCTGCGGGTAGGACTGTGACTGCGACTGCGACTGCGGCTGCGGCTGCGACTGCGCTTGCTCCTCCGAGAACGTCGCCGCCTCCGATCGTGGCTGCGGCTGCGGCTGCGACTGCGATCGCAGCTACGATCACGGCTACGGCTGAGCTCGCGGGCATACTTGCGAGTGTGCTTGTCGGAGCTACGTCGGCCCCGGTCACGGCTGCGGCTGCGGCTGCGACTGCGATCGCGATCAGGGCGCGAGCCCCGTCGGCCGCCGTCCGGGTCCGGAGAGTGGTCCCGCCTGGACATGGCCATCAAAGAACCACAACAATCGGGCAGCGAGGAATGGCGAAGAAAGAATGGGCCTGTGAAGGAGAGGCAGAGAGGGAGGTTGAAGGGAGACGGCGGCCAGGATATCTGAGACCACTCCATCCCCACGGATGGACCAGCCGTGGCTGAAAAGACCTCTGAACCCACTGCTCCCAACGTATGGGCAAGAGTCGAATGTTGTTGGGGTTTTATTTTCTATGTTCTATCGGTATTCGATTGAGGGACAAGGTGGCCCCTCCCCTCCACATTGGTTCCATCTTCACCCGTGAAGATGGGGAGGGGGGGGGGGGGGGTGCGCATGGTGGGGGGCGGCGTCATGAGAGGAGGAAAAGCAAGCATCTTGCCCAGTCTTGTGAGGATGGGTAGGTTATGTAGGCAGGTAGGGCTTTCCTTTTCCCGACCAGGACACGCGGGCACTCACGCAGCGAGAGGGGGCGGGGGAGAGAGGGGAACAGGAAGATCGGTCCCTGCTTTGCTGGCGCGACTTAGTGGGGCAGCACCGAGGCCAGCAGGCCGGCGACCGGTTGGATCAGCCAGTCCGGCACAAAGCGCAAAGTCCAGTCGATACGCCCGCCGGTGAGAGTCCGAGCAGCAGCCAGACACCCATGCTGCGAGTGCCAGTAGTGCGCATTGACGAGGCCACGCCAGTGCGACAGGGCGGCAAGCACCACACAAAAGTGGAAAAGCTGATGCGAGCTGAGGAAGAAGTCGAAGCGCCCCGGGGCATACTTCTCCGGCGTGCGGGTGGCATAGAGCGAAGCCCCGAGCAGGTAGAAGAAGGCCATGCCGGCCATGTTGCTGATGGAGGCCTGGCAGGTTGACATGTGCCGGAGGAGATCCCAGGCGGAGGAGTGTCAGATCGCGGATCCGTGTCTGCGAGCAAGTGTCGCCCCCCCCCCCCCCCCCCCCCCCCCCCCGGAAGACATTTGGCCCGTGGTCCTGTCGGGTGGAGGCGCCCGCGGGATGCGGGGCCAGGAGGGGAATTTGAGAGGGGGGGGGGGGGGGGGGGGGCGCGCGCGCGCGGGAGAAGGAGAAAGCAGAGCACGTACCGCTCCATAGGCGCGGGTGTAGCCCATCGCAATCAGCACATGGAAAAAGGGCAGGGCACCGGAGACACTCATGGTGACAAAGAGGATGGCCCGCTTGGCGCGGAAGGTCGGATGGAGGAAGCTTTTCCGCAAGACCATGGGCAGGAGCGGGATGGCCGGCGCCGCGGCCAGAGCCAAGTAGACCCACTTCAGGAGGCCAGGAGCACAGCCGAGAGCATAGTACAGGGCAGGAATGACAGAGCCGACGATCATGGTCATGATACCGAGGTAGTCACAGCGGTTCATGGTCTCGCTCACCTCGACCGAGTGATCGCTATGACGTGCGAGCAGCAGGGAGACAGCGGCCGAAGAGAGAGAGAGAGGGGCAGGGGGGGGGGGGGGAAGGATGCGGTGTGGGTTGGTCAGTGTGGGCCGCCGCCGCGAGGTGGAGGCAAGGCCAGGGGCCCATTGGGAATGCGGGGGCGCACCAAAACAGATGGAAGGACGAAGACAGCAGGAGCATTGACACGGCACACACGAAGAAGACCCCGAACATGACCTTATCGCCGAGGGTCAAGTCCGCGTAGACTGGCGCATAGCCGGTGAAGGTGAGGATGGCCACGCCGATGAAGAAGACCGCCGCCAGGAGGTGCGAGTAGATGTTGCCGGTTTCGTTGTGCAGGAAGAAGAGAGACTTGATGTCGGTCAGGAAGGACCCATCCGAGATTCGGTACCCGGAGAGGATCCATTCATTGTCTTTGCGCCATTCCTCCAGCTCATCGTATGTCATGAGATTCTGCCGGGGCCAAGAGGCAGGGGGGTTAGCGAGGGAGGGCAGGCGTGCGCGTGCGCGTACGCGTATACGGGGAGCGCAGGAGAGAGGGGCAGGAGGAGGGCCAGCATGGTGGCAGATGGGCACAGACACACCTTCTTGAGGTAGGCGATTGACGGGCGCTTCGGGTGGCGCTTGGGCGGCTGGTGGCTGTGATGCCGGCAGGCGTGGTCCTTCAGGGGGTGGGAGTTCTGCTGGTGGGACATTGGCAGGCTGGCGTCGGAGGCGGCAGCCTGATCGATGGCCATCGAGTCCAGGGAGGAGGAAGAGAGTAGAGCCTCGGTGGACTCGTCGGTGCCACCGACAGCGGTCACAGGGCCAGCCATGGGACGCCGGCGAACGGGAGCGGGGTCAACCACCATGTCTCTCGGGCCGCGCGGGGGTATACGGCGGCAGCGGCTGTGGCTGGGTCGTAGCGTGTGTTCGAGCTAGAAGGGGCGACAAAGCGAGGGGAAGGGAACGCGGTCGGGCAGGGGGGGGGGGAGCAGGTAACGGGAGAGAGTGGGCGAGAGCAGATGCCCGAGTTGCCACGGATGGGCACCCGTCCTGCGCAGGCGGCTGAAAGGGGCAGTCAGCCAGGCGGGGCCCGTGCCCCGATCCGAGGACAGTGGGAGCAGCCGAAGGTCCCCCCCCCCCGGGTTGGTCTGTGTCTATGTGTGAGGCAGGGGTGACAGAATGTCCCAGGTCAAA